GGTATCATTAGCATTAATTTACAATGTGAATGAATTTATTTGAGGTTTCGTTTTCATGACATTATTCATTGCGATACTTGTTAACTGTTTAAAGCTTATCATTTTATTGACAAAATTTCTTTAACAAATTCCATGTCACATATATGCATACATATATATAAATGGTACCTCAATGAATAATTAAAATTACCCTGGTAATTAATTATCCACTAATTATTTCATAAGTCGAAAAAAGGACGGAAAATATATATAAATGGATGATGATTCATTTGAAGTGTTGAAATATGTAAATTGAAAAGCCAATCTTTTCGTTTTGAAAACACAACCATAATTGGAAGTTAATTAATGAGGCCAACAAAGATTCCAAAAATTTCATTTCTATGTTATTTTTTATTTGTTTTCTTATTTCTATTCTCTTCTATGTTTTCTTATTATTGCTATTTATTTTACACTTTATAGATTCAGACTAAAGATACAATAATTCATAATATATTCGAAAAGAAAAAAAAAGAAATTATGCTTATAACAATTAGCAAACTATGCAAATCAAATGATTTAAAGGGAATTGTTTTGTATGCTTTCCATTATGATATTCAAATAGATAATATGAAAGTTAACAATGAAACCAAACACATTCAACGTCATTTTGGTACTACTACGCAACTAACTTTTAATTCCCTAACTTCCAATACATTTGTATTTTACTGTCATCCTAAAAAAAAAAAAAAGAAATGATATCTTGCCTATCAATTATGAAATACTCATATCATATGACGAATTTGTTGTACTTCTTTACCGTTACAAGTTTAATAAGTTAGTCACGAGTTAAGTTTTCCTATCATCTCATTCATGATTCAGGTCAAACCAATAACCTTCCGGTCAGTATGCTTCAGCTAACTGCGTCAAAGAAGCGCTGCTTTCGAAAGACTTCCAAAATTTTTTTACTGAGTTAATAAGACTGCTTGGAAAAATCGCTTATTACTCGAAAATTTATAGGCGGCCAACTGTTACCAATTGGAATAGATCTAAAATAAAACAAATTACACGAATTTTACCCTATCATTACGTAGTTCCCTTGTGTATGAAATTTTCAGTTTAAATTATAAATCACAGGGTAACAAATGAAATAAGCAAATTTAATAGCATTCAGAAATTTCAATTTTTTCAAAAAATGATTGATGTCATTTCTATTTACTTCATTACTCGATTCGAATTACTGTTCAGTTCTTGTCATCCTTTATCATCATTTACCTCCTTGGGAAATGAAATGAAATAAATACAAACTTAACAAACTTAGAGGATGAAACAACCATAACAATCGATATCTCAAAGGAAATTTAATAAAATTGAAAAGAATTTAACTCTGTGATTTAAAACAGTGTGCTGCATGTGATGAATTTATGCGTTCTTCAAATTCTTCAAATTTCAAAAACCGAGCTGCTCCAACTACACTTAATTCACAGCTTCATTTTAACACTGTAATCAAACTACAAATACTTTTCAACTCATCACAATAGATACAAAAACTCTTTTTAAAACTCGTCATTTAACTCTACTTTTGTCATTTTCGAATTGGAAGGATTCGTGGTATACGGCTCCTGTCGTGGATTTCTGTTGAAGTAATTTGCAATCAGTCAATAGTTGGAACAAGAAGGAGGTTTACACGTTGGTTATC